AAGACTGATAAGTTTTCAATAAATTTTCCTTAGACTTCATAAAGTAAAAATATCGTTGTGATCACAGTGACCCTAAACGTTTCTTACAGCCTTCAATTGTATTAAATCAGCCGTGTTCGATTATTTCAATTTTCCCTGACTTTGTCTTGCTCTCCATGAGTTCTCAAAGCTCAGTGGATGCCCGTTCGGTGTTCGAGAGGTCATGGGTTCGATTCCTGTCGGGGACTCAGATTTTTGGTTTGTCCCACGCTCGTGTCATGTTGATGCAGTTCACTTTTCACATTTCCCTGACTTTTCTTCAAAATGTCAATTTGTCAATTTGTCAACTATAACTTTTCCCTAACCTAGTAGAATTTTTTCCCCAGACCTTTTCCTGACCTATGGCAACCCTGGATAACTGAGAGGGGAGTAGGGGTGAGAAAAACTTGGAAGGTACAAACAAATAGGTGTGACTTGCAACCGAAGGTGATTTTATTTAGATACATTATCTTACAAGTAAAAGCTGAAATCCTTTTCTAAGCTCTTACAGAGAACAGCTGTCATTTGAAGATTCAGTGGATTATCTACAGAGCATTCCAATCACCACTTCAATGGCTTGTTCTATTCCAAGAATAGGCAAAACTTTTTGAAACTGTTGTGGTACACTCCTAAGTAACGCAGATCTATCTGTCTGCCCAGTCTCTTTTGATGGTGCTGAAGCATGAATTTGAAGATCTGGTACAACACGGCCAGAGTCACTTATATCAAGTCTCCAATGAACTGTAAAGACAAGTCCTGGCTTGCTTTTGTTGTGCAGTTGAATAGATTGACTTCTTGTAGTCAGACCAATCAAGTGAACAGTTTCAGGGTACTTTGTTATAAAGTGATCAAACGTTCTCTGCCTATGACTGTGCCACTCAGCATACTGTATAAGTCCACTAAAGAATGGCTGTAGGGCCCTCTCTCCTTCTACTGTTTTAATAAAGTTTGAAAGTTCTTGTTCTGCAAGAGGATCTGTGACACTTACTTTCAGTCTGGTTACTACTGCACTGTTGTCTTCCAAACGTTCAACATCTTAGGAGGAAACACAAGAACTATAAACACAGCTGAACCTTCGTTAAGAGACACCTCCCATTGGCAGACAACTACATGTACTGCAGGGGGACACTTCCTGGAGACAACTCTCATAGGTGGACAATAAGTCATAGTTACAGCCACACAAAAATACTACATTTTCAGCCTCCTGTTAGCAGACGCCTCTCCAAGGTTGAAACTTAGGAGAAATGTCAGCTGATTGCTCTTGTACCATCTTTCAGTCATTTGCAAACAATGCCATTGCATCATTTGCAGATCAATTTAAGGATCATTTGAAGGCCTGTACACAGCACACACAAGGGAACAAGTCCCTGCAAAAAGTCACAGAGACCAAGTCCCTTCAATTGAGCTCTTTTCTACCTGTAGATGGTGGTGAATGCATTGCAAGTGAATATATGAAAGATCATATATTTGAACTCTGGGTATAAGTGATCCGGTATAATTATGATCTTTCATATATTCACTTGCATTCTTCACCATCTGCGGGTAAATTACAAACTCACAAAGTGACCAGCTCCCAGTTGGCTTAATAGCTCAGTTAGTAGAGCATTGCACCGATATCGCAGAGGTCATGGGTTTGAATCCCGTTTAAACCTGAATTTTTTTTTCATGCTTCAATGTCATGGCTGCTTAAGTTGTGTATGTAAATGCGATGATCATTGATGCCTTCATATTTTTCTCTGCAATATATGATCTTTCATATATCTTAAAATCCCACGTTAAAGACCTGGGCATATATAACTTCATAAGGGGTTTTGGGTGGGCTTGTAAACAGGGCAGCTTACATGGAAGCATATAGGCGGAAAAAAAAAAATGTTTTGGAACGGCGAGATAAAACGTATCTAGAAGCGAATTAAAGCTGACATACCATTACATTTAGAGCTATTACCCCATTAGCCTATTATTATCCTATTAGCCTATTAGCCTGTAACTTTCGATTCAAAATTTTGATGTTTGTAAAGAAAAGCAAAAGGAACGCANATTTTGCCTGCCTGGTTTGACAATCTAAGGAAAGTTTTTCTTTTAAGATGTTCAGTTCAAAAGGTTTTGCCCACTTATGAGAACCAGTTGCCCTCCTGCTGAAAAGCTTAATGAAACCCCTGCACTACAAGGGACAAGTCCCTGCAACCAGTTCCCTCGACAGTGTGAACTCTTCAAGAGACTTTGTATCACAGTAACTGGTTATGGGAACTTGTCTTCTCGTGTGTGTCCTGACCTCAAGGAGATCTTACATGTATCTGTATCACTTAGTAAAATTAACATTTTTAAACACAATACTTTAAGTTTGAAACGGTAAGTGTTAATAGCAACTGGCAAAGTGCATCATTAAACAATTGATTCATGCATTAGCATGCATTATCAAGCTTCAACTGTATGATGTACATGGGAAGTTTGGAGAGCAATGACGAGGTGTAAGAATTACTTGAGGTGCAACTGAAAACAACTGTAGCTTCCAGAATGCCCTCCAATCTTCCCAAGTGCATCACAACTTGATGATGCACAGCTAATACCATGAATCAATTATTGTTTTATAACCCTACCAAGCGAAATTCATTTCTCTTGTGATTTACCCAAGTCATGCCAAGTAAAGCTACCTTTGCTCATGCCATGAGCATACATGGATTATGATGCAGGCTTACTTGTTATATAAACTTAGTTTGATAGCGTGGCTTTGCTAACTATGTTATAATACGGGCGTCCAAAATAATTATTCCCATGCACAACAACAACCGCCATTCAATCTGATTCGTAACCAAGGACACAACAGTTCAAGTTCACTTACCTTCATTTTCAGGACTGAATGTATTATCCATCTTTTCATCCTCTTTTACCTCGAATTCTACTGCAAATGAAATCCGTTGACAAGTTCCCGACATTCCACGAAGAAGCACTGTAGTACTGTCTGTCTTCGAAAGAACACTAACAATGTTTTCGACAAATCTAATGCCGGTGAAGCTTTCAAGAGAACTAATTCGGCTGTTAAGCACATCAATGTCTTTTTCTAATTCATTTCTGTCATTTCCTTGCGATAAGCCAGGCAAATCAGAGGACTGAT